GATCACACATTTATCAAGCCCTCACCACTTTCAGATTTTGTTTTCACAGTGTTTCACGGAGACTGGTTTATATATGAGAGGGTTTGAGGGCCTTTTTCAATACATGTGTTTAAGCAAACACTCACACAAGACAGACACATTGTTCTCGTATTTAAAAAAAAACAATTTTTGGAGTAAAAAATAAGTGTTATTCTGACATCATTTTCTCATTCTTTATCTTGCATTTATCTGAAAAGAAGAGAAATACCAGTTTAGAAGCAAGGTGGATACAAATCAATACCTTTGGGGTTAATATATTTGATTAAAGTACAAGTAGGGCATTTTTTACCATCCTCAGGCAAAATGGGACAAATATTCCCCTTCACCGTAAGCGACCAATCACAAGTCAACATCTATGAATGAGGGCAATATGTATGTTACTGTTGGAGACAGTGTAGCTAGCGGTGCGTAGCTTAGTTTCAAAATGGTAAATTTGAATCAGTTTTCTTTTAAGAAACAATTTTTTTAAAAATATTAGTATAGGCCTACATAAATTGGAAACACTAATTCTATATTATTAGTTAGCGTTTAAAACTTGCTCTTATGGAACTTCCGATCTTTCAGGGATGTTTTTACTTTCATTGTCAAGGAATGTCGAGTTAAAAGGTTTGGTTACAACACACACAATGCCTTGATCGCATTGCACCGAAATGCCATCCGGGGAATCCCGCTGTGCTATAGGCAAAATTTTACGGCACCTTTAAGAATGTGTTTTGTTCTACTTCTTTTTTTATGATATATACTAGATCTACAGTAATGCATCCAACCTGTTTATGTGTATGCCACAAGTGACCAAATGGACGAATCCTGTTCAAACCGTTTCAAATAAAAGATCAAAACTGAGGGTGATCATGTCATGATTTTGGAATTGTGACAGACGCGATCGGAGGCATTGTCCCCAGCGAATGTAAACAAAACAGTCCATTGCGGTGATTATGCTAGCCAGTTACCTGAACTATTTTTGCATGTTAACACGGTACAAAGTTTACATGTAAATTATTTACAACGCCCACCATTTTCAAAGAGGCATGGGAGCTAAATTTTCTTTTTAACTCCTAAAGTCTCCAAAAAGCCAAAGAACGCGACTTCTGCGCTCCACGGTCATGGAATGTTTCATTTTGCTTCAACTACACCTCTGATAATTTAGTGGGAGTCTGGTTTTTTAGATACATACTTTACTGGCTGGTGATGGTAGAGTGTGTATGGTCAAAGTATCGGTCTGTTGACTCTGAGAAGGGCACTTGCCCTTCAGT